AATAGTTTCATGTTTAAAGGACTTTAAGAGGTTTGGATTCTGACTATGACCGAACTTCTCCTTTAAAAGCAAAACAGCAAAAAAGCCTTTTTTTTTAGAAATGTTTAAGAAATTGGCCAAATTTCCATTGTCAGAAAAAATTATAAAAAGGTTAGATTTTTAAAGATTACTTTTTTATTTTTCCCTACCTTTTGGATTATTTTTAACTTATATTTTTTTTGCATTTTTACGGCACGATTGGCTCGTTTTCTCGATAGTAGGCTGACAGGAAAGGGGGTATAAGGGAGGGGGAGAGACCTTACATTACTGTAATTTCCCCCTGGGTTTATTAAATTATGTCTGATTCTGATGCGGGAAAGGACCACAGGTCGGATTCAAACCCGGGTCAGCTGCGTCCAGGACTAAGGCCTCCACACATGGGCATGCATGCTAACCACTGCGCCACCTGCAGCGCTTTCCCTACCTTTCGAAAGAAAAATGTTGCTTAAAGAAAGAAAAAAAATGAACATAAAATTACTTTAAACTACAGCTTCGTTGTTTTTTGTGTGTTTTTTTTTTCTTTGCAGCTTACTTTAGTACAATTAGCATTTTTTTTAAAAGCTATTTAGTCAGAAAATACATTTCTAAAGATTCTTTCTGTTGCCCCTTAGGACTTGTTTTGTTACCTAATGAAGAGTTTGAAATAGCACTTCAGTATAAATGATTTTAATTTCAAATGTTTTTAAATTATTAATAGCATCATAGAAGGGAAAACCTGGTGTCTCCTTATCAACACCTGACTTATATAGCCACGTTGTGGATTACAGCCTTCAGGGTATTTGGCTGCGCCTTGGGAAAGGTTTGGAGGAGAGAAATCTTAACTGTTATACGGCAGGCTAAGTTAGAAATGCATGAAGCTGCATTGAGAATTTTTTCTCCATATTTCTTAGGAAACTAGAGCTGCCAAGTGAACAAGGTCACGTTCTCTCTCAACGTAAGGAGACTGTCTTTATCTGGCTGCTGAAATGAGAACCATGCTGCCAAATTGGAACAGAATGCTTACTGAATAAAGATTCACATTCGAAGTCTATGGTTATAATTTCTCTAGCTGTTTTCCTGGAGGAGCAGCAGTTTACGGATAAGATGGAGAATGAAACATATTCAGGTTCTGTGATGCTTCCAGTATTTCTCAGTCAT